TGGGAAGGACCCCAACATGTTCTTGTGAAATCTCATTTCAAGTAATAGGATAATAAAAAGTTAAGGGCAGATAAATTAACTTAAAAATATGTAAAACCAATGATAACTGTGTAACCACAATGCGGGACTCAAGGAAAGATACAGTTTTAAGTTTTTAGCTATCATTATTTAAAACATATGCCCCCAAAATAGAATTCTCCTTTCCATGTGTACAGCTAGTGCCACTTAATTATACAGCAGTCGTCTTAGAATCTTCACAACCCCTTTAACCCAATAATCATTCCTTTGTTTTTTCCTCTGTTGATTGGGCCAGATTTCCTTAGCCTATGACTCTATGGCAGTTGTTACGTGCTCTTAAACAATTATCGAGGGCTTTGTTTAGCCATGGTAAAGTTAAAACAATGGTAAATAATCCAGGGAAGGAGAAAACATGGTTTTTTTCCTCCCAATATTTATTCTTTTTTATTCCTCCTCCCCCACAGAGAACATAAGGAATACTAGTTCCCGTCATTAACAAGAAACATGCTAAATAAAGAATTATTCAACCTTTCACTGAATGCTTCCGGATAAAGTTTTGTGCATCAAAGAGAATACAAAGATATCAAGATGTCAAAGGTCAATACTTCCTTCAATACATTTGAAGAAAAAAATAGAAAAAAATTAAAAACTTCATTAAAAATACAAAAAAAAAAAAAAGAATGAGGCCAGTAGGTGGAAAGGAGGTTGAGATGCTGGATTCCCCTTGGTTGACCAGGATTCCAGTCCTGGGCCTGGAAGCTTGAAAATCATGCCTGATGTGTGTGTGTGTGTGTGTGTGTGTGTGTGTGTGTGTGTATGCATGTGTGCGTGCACACGCGCACACTAAACCTGAGAGAAGAATGAAAGAAAAGGGAGTGCAGTGTGACCATCTGCCCTGAAGGGATGATGATTTCTCATTCTCCTTCTCTGTCTCTGTCTAGTGCATGCACCTTATGGTAAAAACCTACCAAAAAAATCCAAAAGAATGTCTTTCTAATTATTTTTGCAAAGATACTATTAACCAATTAGTTAGGTCCAAGTAACCAAGAAACTGAAATGGTATGGAATGCCAGAATGTTTTACAATAGAGAACTGTTGACAGGTCTAGTGTACACTAGAGAATCCTTTTCTTAAAAAAATTATTCATCTAATTTTATTTATTATGATTGTTTTAATTTGCAATAAGGCACATGCACTCATGAGAGATAGGGAAGGGGAAATTGAGAAAGCAAGCCTCTAGGTCTGGCACTTGAACTATGGTTAGCCGTATCAGAGTCTAGTGCCTTAACCGCCACACCACCTGTTGGTCCACTAGAGAATCCTTTAAATAAGATAACTACTATAGCTTCTAGTAGGTCCCCCTTAATAAAAATAGTAACATTTTACAAATGCATTTCCTAGAGTGTTTATAGAGTTGCTTACAAACTAGAAAAGTTTGGCTCAAACAATTTTGACTGTGCATTTGAATAAATGCCCAAGATAATGGTAACATAAATAAGATAATGCAAACTTTTGTAAAATTCTTGTTTCATAATTATGGCGATAGCATTAATTGACACAAATAGAATGTTATGATACAGAAATAAGGAGTTCAGCTGTTTTGATTTATCATGTCAGAAAAGTGTGAAACGAGCCTTTACATTTATCTCCTTCTTAAATATGCCCTCTTTTTTATATTATTTAACTATGATGTGGGAAGCAGTGTTGCTTAAATGCTATCAAGCAGAGTGGAAAGAAATGAATCCAGAGAAAGAGGATGCCATCTGCTATTTAAATAATATACATATTTCACACAAAATTCATTTGAAAGCAAGGAAATGGAAGACCATAACTGATTCTAGGAGGTAGCATCCTTGTAAAAGTAAAGGAATAGCATTTGGAACTAATTCCAGAAGAAATATGTTTTGGGGAAGAGAATATCAGAAGTGGGATACCTTGAACCTTAATATAAGATTAAAACATGGGACAGTGTATGAGAACTGAGGCTTGTGTGGGATTTGGAGGAGGCAGTGAGTGAATTATCTGAAGTTATCTAGAAAGAAGACACTGCCTGCCTGAAGAAAAGAGGTCCAAGGATGATGCCAAACATGCCCACTCAAGAGTTTATTAATTGCATATAAAGAGTGGAGTTTGTGATTTAGTTGTCAAAATTGAGTCCAAGAAGGACCAGCAGATGGCGTGATGGTTATGTCACTGGATTCCCACGTAGTTGACCATGTTTTGTGTCCTGGACCTGGTGGCTTAACTTAAGCCAGACACATGTGCGTGCATGCCCAAAATCTTAAGAGGAGAATGGAGGAAAAGTGGTTACAGTGTGACCAACCCCTCTGAAGTGGGGGCGGGGGTGATTTCTCATTTTCTGTTTCTCTGGCAAGTACGCATGCCCTATAGCAAAAATTTTCTTAAAAAAAAAAAAATTCTGTCCATGATTCTTTAAGTAATTTAACAAAGTCTGAAATCCAAAATCACAAGTCAATATTGGATTCAATAAATGGAAACATTGGATTGAAAAATATTAATGGCCCAATTTTTTTTCATGGTTTTGGTAAGTAATATTAAAAGAGTTAAAAATGTCAGTATCTAGCAATGTAACAAACAAAACCTATCAGAAATAGTATCTGAAAAGGAATTTCCATAATGCTGCTAAAATTTTTTGAAAAACTTTTCAAATTTAAAGTATGAAAAAATAAGGAGAGATGAAGAAACATTGTCATTGGCCTGTTCAGATAATTCTTATCCTGGATATCTGATACTAGCTGGGTTTAGGTGTTGGTGTCCACCCCAGGGCTTGGGTCTGGCTGAATCATGATGAGGGGGCTGCTGGTGAGGAAGAGAAAGAGGACGGAGAAAGAGAAAGCCCTCCATCTTGCCAGGACCTGGGAATTGGAAAGAATGAGACAAAGACGTAGAGTAGAAATGGACACAGGCAGCCTGAGTCTAGGTAGCCCAAGCAACTTGTGTCGCCCAGATGAACTGGACATCTTTATTTATAGTACAAGGAGACATTACACATGCATGTTTCACGACACTTCATGGATTGGTTGCCAGGTTACAGACAATAAGAAGCAATTCACAAAGCTATGAGGGCTTAGTCACACCAGGCCAGGTGTACCCCTTGATGATAATCCCATCAAGAGAAAAATCTCATCTTCTTCTCTAATGCAGAGAACTAGCTGTTAGGTGTGGGGAAGGAGCTAAAGAACTCCATAAGGAGTGCACCACCACACCCAGAGAAGGCTGAAGAACCTTTCAGATGCAGAGCAGGGATTGGATTTCACTAATTGGGGTCAAGATGTTTCTTGAAGTCCATCAGATGTGTCTGTTGGAACGCCCCTAGTAATTTCCACCCTTGCTCTGTCTGCAGCCAAGGTCAGGGAAAGACAAGTTACAAGGTTCTGCCAAACCCCAAAAGAGCATGTGGTGTTTGCTCAGCACATGTCCCCACATTTCCCCCTTTTTTGTTTTAAAGCCAACATGGCCTGAGTTGCTAGGAGGGAGGTCAGCACCAAGGGATACACACAGGCATTAGGTGACTACTATAACAATTAAGTAACATAGTATAAAATTAGTTAACATTATTTTCTTAGAAAGCAGCATTGGTGCTATGCAATTAAGGCAGTATAAGCTATTACGAGATAGATTAACTAAAATATAATTAAACGTGTAGGTCATACATGTAAAAATCCAGTCTACAGACAGTTGAACAAAGCAAATAGCATAGTTAACATTTTTTTGTTTTTGCAGGAATGAGATCCTGGTCACAAGTGTTCATTGAGTTAGCAGTCAATTTGGCACACATAGCAATGAACAAGTTCTCAGGAGTTGGTTCTTTATCTTGTTTCTTCAGCATTTCCTGAGCATCATTAGCTTCGAACCGCAGTCGACTACGTGGGAGTCCAGCAGCATAGCCATTACGCTAACTGCTGGTCCCGGGTACCCACATTTAAATATAGTTAGACATACATGTTCCTGAGGAAGTTTTTGGTTCACATAGTATTTTAACACATGTTGATTTTCAATATTAACTCAAATGCTTCCCTTTTAATTTTATGACAATAAACTAATTGAAGGCAGTAAATCTGCCAGTATGACAGTTATCTGTTAGCAATGTCTACTAGCAAACTGACGAGATGTTTTCTTATCCACATGACACGTGCTAATCAAGTAAAGTGAGTAATAAATGAATTTTAATGAATGAATTAATCAATCATTCATAGGTATGCAAAGACTGCGTATCTGAATCTCATTTTTTCTAAAATACTTAACACCATGGTTTAATTAGGTTCAAAAGTTCATGATTGCACAGTCACAACCCAAATCCTATTTTTAATATCAAATCCACCTTTTTTTAAGATTATCAATCAAGATACTTTTGCAATACTATTAGGCTAAATGGGTCCCCAGTTTTTTTTTCTTTTCTTTTTTTTTTTTGAGAAGTTTTTGCTATAGGGCGTCTGCGTTTGCCAGACAGACAGAGAGAGACAGAGAGACAGAAAGTGAGAAATCACCCCCCAGGGGGGATGGCCACGCCACAATCCCTTCTCCTCCATTCTCCTCTCAGGATCTTGGGCACACACACACACATGCCCAGTGTGAGTTTAAGCCACCAGGTCCGGGACTCGAACTGCGGTCGACTACGTGGGAGTCCAGCGACATAGCCATTATGCTAACTGCTGGTCCCAAGGGTCCCCAGTTTTAAAAAGTGTTATCTACATAATACAGTTGTACCAGATGTTTCTGGTGAATAAACCGAACCATGACTCTCTTCTCAGGAGGATCAAGTCTATTGTTTGCACAACTGAATGATAATTCGCTCCTAAAGTTAAAATGCATGTATGCTTTAGGAAATTAAGTTTAAAAGTGAATATTATTTTCTTCTTTGTCTCTCTCCTCTTTATTTGAGCTCTAAATGCAATGTAATTAGCTTCAGAATGTATGCTAGAGATTATTTATTGAGTAGATTATACAATTTAATTTATTTAAAATCATTTATTCTCAGCAAAATCAACATATCATTGAGTTTACATAGAAATACAATTTTCAAACAGATCATCATAAAAAATGCACTGCTGAAATAAATGTTCATAATTAATAACCAATTATGTACTATTTGATCATGCCAGTAGCAGAATTGATTACCATTAAAAATTGGTAAAGTAACATATCTTAAATGTGCAAATACCATCTTAGTACTCGAGTGTGTTACCATTGATAATAAATGGCCACTAAATATATACCTATTACATAAAGCTTTTTAAAGTACAATAAAAATACAAGTTCTATCTGTTTTAAAAAAAAGCCATTTATATGGCTTCTAAACATCCTCATTATACAAATTCCAAAATACTATATGACAAACAAAATTAGAAAGACTTTTCTTTATGAAACATATACTACTCTCTAATTAAGGTACAATATAGCAGATAACAAAAACAAACAAAAAGGCTCATATACCATTGAACATTATGGAGATACATACAAATATAACATTGCATAAGCATATTTGATATATTTTCCTAGTTAAATGTACCTTTAGCACTAGAAGAAAATTTCCATGAATGAAAAAAAAAATATATTTTTGAGTGTTATCCCCAATCTAAGCCCACATTTTCATTAACCTAATTTATTTTTCTTGTTATATGATAAACCAAATTAGAAATTTTGATCATCAATTTCTGTTGTACTGAATACAAAGTAAAACATTATAAATACAATGGGCAAAGGTATAGGAAACAAGTGTATTTAAAGGTCAGGATTCTCAAGCAAATAGAGAATGAAATGCAAGGGGATTTTATTGCTCATGTTCAAGATTAAATTGAGCAACTTGATTTTCACAAACAACAAGACTCAACAAAACAAATACAGTTAAATTTGCTAAGTAATATTGATAGATCATATAGAATATTTGCCACAAGTTTTAAAGTATCAAAACTAACGGATTATCACAAAATAAACTTTGGTGAGAAAATACCTTTATCAAAGGAGGAAATGTGAGGACGGTCCTTATTTAATGACGAGAAATACATTTGGCAAAATAAATATCAGTAATAGATTGCAACTACAGAGAGTATCTATTCTAAAAGTTGCTTTAGGAAATATGATATCAGATGATATTTAAATGTTACAGCAATGTAGCTCATTAACACGAGTGAAATTTTATTTTCTATTTTTAATTTTGTAAATAGAAAATTTTCATTTTCCCACTATCATTACCAAATAAATTGAATATTTAGAGTACAGCTAATAATAACTAACATTATTATCTTGCATTTACTACTATAAATACTCTAAATACATTTAGTTTAATTATTGGAATTTATATACTTGTTATTGGTCTGTTCAGATCATTCTTAGCCTGGATATCTGATACTGGTAGGGTTAAATTTATCTCCTTCTTAAGTATGCCATCTTTCACTATTTAATTAGTGACTTGGTGGCTTTATATTAAAAGTTTATATTTCCTCAATGATATGAACAATATTTTATACAGAAAATGGTATCCATCTAACCAAAGGTAACATGTTTATTGGAAATAGAAGGTGATGAGTTTGACATTTGCATATTTCTTCAAAATTTTAAAAAGTATTACTCGGGACTCAAAAGCTAACTGGTAGCCTGGAGAATAAACACAATATCAAGGTGCTAATTATTTAGAACTCAGATACAAAGTGGTTATTTGCATACTCTGTCATTCAGTCATAAACTCATCTACAACCGAAACACAAAGGTACATAAAAGGATGATATACTTTACATGATGATTAAAAATAAACACTATAGATCAACACTGAATGAGAGAAAATTTTACTGAAATAATTTTCAAAAAGTTAAAATATATTTAAAAATATATTGGCACATATATAATACCAATCTTGAAGTAATATTGAATGATTTATGTATATCAACAACTTTAATATGAATCAGGATCTCTTGTTCTTGACATCAGCATCTACTGTCTAATGGGTCGAGACAAAATACTGTGCCTTCAAGAGTTAGTCCCATTTTGAACCCCTCCTGTAAAATAGAACAAAATCATTAAAGTAGGAGCTATTAATAGCAAAATTTAAAAAATCAGTAAATAGAAGATGCTATGAGCAAAATTTGAAATTTTTATACTTTGATCAGCAAAGAAAGAATTACATGCCAGATGTTGACTTGCGAAATTTGTCAAAATGTTTGCATTGATGTATACCCCTGGAACTTCTTTTATACACATTAACATTTTTATGTTTTATATATATGTGAGGTCAGTATGAATGAAAGATAGAAGAACATACCAACATATGGAATTAAGTATTATTTTTTAAATTTGCTGTAGGGTTTGTGCACTCACTGGAGAGAGAGAGAGAGAGAGAGAGAAAGAGAGAGAGAGAGAGAGAGAGAGAGAGAGAGAGAAAATCCTCTAGGGGTATCACTAGGCCACAATCCCTTCTCCTTTATTCTCCTCCTGGGATTATGGGCATGCAGGAACACATGCCCAGCATGTTTTTCTTTCTTTCTTTCTTTCTTTCTTTCTTTCTTTCTTTCTTTCTTTCTTTCTTTCTTTCTTTCTTTCTTTCTTTCTTTCTTTTTTATTTTTGCTATAGGGTGGGTGCGCTCGCCAGAAAGACACAGAGATAGAAAGCGAGAAATCACCCCCGAGGGGGGATGGCCGTGCTGCAATCCCTTCTCCTCCATTCTCCTCTCGGGATCTTGGGCACGCATGCACACGTGGCGTGAGTTTAAGCCACTGGGCCCGGAACTCAAACCGCGGTTGGCTACATGGGAGTTCAGTGACATAGCCATTGCTAACTGCTGGTCCCAACCCAGCATGTTTTTCAAGCTGCCAGTTTCAAGAATCCACCCATGCAGTCAATCACGTGGGATTCCTCCACCTTAAACACCATGTCACCTGGATGGCTCAGAATTAAGTAGTTTTACAATTTAAACATTCTTTTTCCAGTAAAGCTTAGTATATCGTTCTACTGTAGCTTAAATTCCTCTATTGACCTCAAAGAAAATTATTTATTTATATAGCATTATGTTTGATTCTTACATTATTAGGTTCACTAGACTCAAAAGATGAATCAAGATAGCCTTATACTGTTCCTCTCTTCTTCCTAGTTACTGCTATTCAGAGGCCTAGTTAAATACCTCTCATAAATGTAGTGCTACCTACTATGTACAACACCGAACTGCAATTGTTTTGAATAGGTATCTAAATATATATACCTTTCTACAAATCTAATACAAACATTATCATATAACGGAAGTATTGATGATACTGCAAGCCACACCTTATATTATGATTGATGTTCAGAAAATATACTTCCTTATGTCCACAGCACAGAGATTACAGAACAATTTCATCGCTGCAAAGTTTTTCACAACTTTTCCCAGTACTTGTAGTACAAATTACATTCAGTTGTGGAAAGGTAAGAGAACTTACTCTTATATTTTAAAAACCTGCCCTTTTTATAAGGAAGATATTTTGCTATATTTACGCACATCTTCCAAACAGTCACCAAAATACACACCGAAATGAAAACTTTAAATTGAAAATATTATAAATGCACTGTTCTTTTAAAATGTTTTATTTGGGTATCTGAACGAGTAGTGCTATTTCATCTCTAGGTCCATTATAGGCAGACATAGATAAATGAGGAGCAGATGACAGAGAGGTAACGATAGCTAGTGAGAACGCTGGCGAGGTAATCGCCTCTGTAGAGGGCTGAAACTATACAGTGTTTCTAAAGTTTATCAGTTCATTCTTAAATTAAACCAGTATCACTTCAATTATCCTGAAAACAGTATTTATAACTGTTGTTTTCAGTAGCGGAAATGTATAATAGCAATCCAAGTAAAACAGAGTGGATCACTCTTTCAAAAATAATGCAGTTATCTCTCTCTACATGGTGATTTTTATAAGAATCCTTCCAGATAAATGAAAATCATCATAAACTAATATCACATAGAAAAAGATGGTATAATAAATTACAATAATAGTAATCACATGTTTTTATTGAAAATGTTTTCAATTGCATTTTCTCTTGAAAGAGGACATAAAAAATATTCAAAAAGAGAAAAACAACTCATACAAATATAAACATGTTGAGGTACATACTTCAAGTCTCTTTTTTAGTTTTACCTATAGATTTTTGCAATTATTTTGATAATAATAACCATATTTATATTATACATAAATTTCTTATTTATATAATATATTGCACGTATTTAACCTTTTATCTTACTTTATCACCTTATAACTTTATTATTTTGAGTTCCCATAAAACTAATTTGTCATGACTATATAATATTTCATTAATATTTACAATGATTTATTTATTTCTAATATTTACAAATATAAAGAGTAGCTGGATTTTTCTTCATAGAAATTGAACACACCTGTAATTATTTTCTTTTCATAATATGTTGTTTATATTGTTTTAATGTCAAATAAAAATAAAAGTATCAATAATAAATTACTTTGATGTTAAACTAACACTGACCTAGCCATGATTTAAAATATTTGTTTCATCACATTTTCACTTGTACTGATTATTAGTAAAAAAATAAACTTGTTAATTTACTGCATAAAAATGACTTTTACAGTTCATTATTTAATTTATATATTTACTTTGATTAGGCAGAATACTTGTACATAAATATTAGACACTTGTGATCTTATTCTATCAACTAAGTCTTGTTTACTTACCTGGGGATTATTTCGTTTCTTAATCACTGTCTAATTGCTTTAATTCTTTCTCTTTGTATTATATACGTGTGTGTGTGTGTGTTTGTATACACACACTGTCCCTATATACACTATATACACACACATACTGCCTATCTAACTAGATAGATAGATAGATAGATAGATAGATAGATAGATAGATGATAGATAGATATAAGGAAAATACGAAAAATACCACAGTTTAGTACTGCTATACTAACAATAGTGTTTCTTAAACTTATTTGCTTACAAAATTGAAAATGGGGGCTTAACTTTTTAACAGAAAAATGTTAAATTTTGTGTTAATTTTTAAAAGCATGCATAGAAAAAAATGTACTTTACGACTCATTTAACTGTACACAATTTGCTTACAGCAGCCTTGTTCTTGAAAACAAGCATTGCCACCTCAGTGTGCATATCTGTGCTTCTACCTACAAAAGCCAAGTGGCACAACTTAATTGGTATTTTCATTAAAACCTTCATAGTATTTGAAATATACAAAAGAGGTGGGAAAATCATATCTATGTATATATAGATAGTATCTATCTATCTAAATATATATAATACACATTCACATACTCACATATATATTATTTTTTTAGGGTTTGCCACAAGGCCACATGTACTCTCCAGAGAGGGAGAGAGATAGTGATAGGGAAAGTGAGAAATCACTCCCTAAGGGGATGGTCACATCACAATTCTTTCTCCATTCTCCTCCTGGGATTTTGGTCATGCATGCACATGAGCCTGGTGGGAATTTCAAGTCATCACATCCAAGATTTGAACTGTGGTCAGCCATGTGAGAGTTCAGCACCTTAATCACCATGCCACTTGCTGGGTCTCAAATTAAAAAGAACTTTAGAAGACCTTACATCCACATTTTCCTTATAAAATTTTTTGACTCAAAGTCTGATACTCAAATGTATTTCAAACATTTAAAACTGCTTAATGCATCTGAAATTTATTTGCTGTTTCAGGTATACATTGAATTCTCCCAAATTACTAAATAGTTGACTTAACACCATTTGTGTATAATTCTTTCATACTTCATTGATTTCCCTTGCTTCTTTTTTGTAAATATATTAAATTCTTACAGCCCATAAGGTACACTTCTAGGATATCAATACCGTTTTACTAATTTTTCTACCAGTGACATGTACCAAGGAGTTTAAACTAGGTGAAAAAAACCCCTACATTATTAATTCTAAATAAATACCTAGCTTTATAAAAATTTATAATGGAATATAACCTAATATTTCTGCTTAAATTTTTGCATGAGATACTTCTGCGTTTTCAAATTTAATCATTTGAGTCTCAAATAATAGCTCAGTCACGATCTTCTGTAAATGAAACAACAGAAATAAAATCTCTAGACTGAAAAACTCAATACAGTGTTCACAGTCCATTGTACTAAATTAATTTTTACATGATATGCAAAGATAAAAATAGTAGCTATGTGTGTGTTAGATCAATTAGGGTAGCAAGATTAATAACAAAGTCATCATGGACTTTAGATGAAGAAATATTATGTTAATTTAGTTGAAGTGATCTTGCAAGTAAATCTTGGATAAAAGAAACAGAAAAGCAGTAAGGTGGACAATGCAAAAGTGAATATGTCATTGAAAAAATAATCTCAAATTATGGGTTATTAAACCTCTTTAAACACAAGTAATATTCAGGTACATCCATATGAAACTGCTTTTTGAAAATATAGCATGCAAATATTAAGATTTTAGCTTTCAAAATGTTACAAGTTGTTTAAAATTATTATAAGAATAATATACCAACCATCTCTGGCGCTACCCACCATGAAAGCAGAAAAGAATAAAAAAAAGACATTAAATTAAAATATTAGAAACTGCAAAAAAATAAATAAATAAAAATACAACAGTTTAATATTGTTTTACTAACAACAGTGTTTCTTAAACTTATTCTCTTACAAAATTGGAGATGGGGGTTTATCTTTTTAACAGAAAAATGTTCAATTTTCTGTTGATTTTTAAAAGCATGCATAGAAAAAATATACTTTATGACTCATTCAACGGTATATAACTTGCTTAAAGCAGCCTAGTGTTTGAAAGTAAGCACTGTCACCACAGTATCCATGTGTGCTTCTACCTACAAAAGCCAAGTGGCACAACTTAATTGGTATTTTGACTGAAAGCTTCAGAGTATTTGAAATATGCAAAAGAGATGGGAAAATCATATCATCCTGACCACATAAATGTGGAAATCAACAGGTGTTTGATATGTTGTAATTTCAACCAAATAGCATCATTCATTCACTTATATTAAAGCTCTTAATTTAAATTTTATTGGTGGTATAGTTTTGCTTTTATTTAACTTACAATTTTTGAATTCATAATTGCATATGAAATACTAAGGATAACTGTTTTATAACATTTTTTGCTTTTACCTTTTTTGTAAAAAACATCAATTAAAATCAAGGTTAATGGTATAGTTTTTCATGAAAAAGGGAATTACTAAATTATTAAAAATGTGATTTGTAATTCTTTGAAAGTTCCTTTCCCAGTCTTTGAAAATCTCATGTATGTGTTAAATAATTCAACTTTTAAAATGCAGGCATATTATTATATTTACAACACTATGGAAGTTCATATGATAGGTGGAAAATAAGACTGCAATATAGCAGTAGTCCAAATGAGAGGAAGAGTGTTTGACATTGTTGTTCCAGGGAGGAGTCCATCTACTGTGTAAGACTGGCATCACTCATTACGTTTTTCCCCCAAAGATGAAGCATAGAGAGTGAACATAATAAACCAGGAATAATAATCAGAATACTTCTTTCATCTTACATTAGTATCTTCATTGTCTTTTCTCAATCAGCTTCATCTAATTGATGTCTGCCTAAATTTTACCAGATATAAACTTTCAGATGAAAAATAAGATATAATAGCTTCACTGAAATGTAAAGGGCAAATATAAAGAGAAGACTTTATTCTAGTGTTCATGATACTATTTATTGATCATAATCCATACAAAGTTTTTAAAGCCAATTTCTTCAAACTTCTAGAACGATTTATGACTCAAAAATTAAGTGGAAAGAGAAATGAAAACCCAACTGGAATATATTCCTGGAGAAGTTGTCACTGGGTGTCTGCTTTTTCCATAAGAGTCAAGAAGTTATGAACTGTGGCTACAATGCTTCCTTTCAGAGAGAGTGATTTTACTCTTACAGAGATTTTCCCTCATCTATTCATTTACAATTCTGAAATTCATAATTGTTAAGACAGAGATCAAATCTTATAAATCTACTCCAATAGCCTTCTAATTTCTAGAGTTCAAAATAATGAAGTATTATGGATAAAGTCTTTTTACAAGCAAAATGAGAAATAGTGATTGACTGTTTAAAAAAATAATTAGAATAATAATAATAATGATTGGGAAAAACATTGAAAAGATATTGAATGATGAAGTGGGGAGATTAACGTCTCTCCCTGGACTGACATGCATGGCATTCCCTTTTGAAAAAGCAATGTAATACACTGTAAAGTTATATGTAATCTAATGTAATATAAAGAAGATTATGATGATAATAAAAATAAATAAATAAATAATAATGAAGCATTAGAATCCATTTTATTTTGTATAAAAACTGAGCCATTTTGTAAACTGAACTATTAAAGAGAGAAAAAAAAACACTTTATCCTAAGATATAGGAGTATTTTTAGTACCAAATGAACATTATTACTTTAAAGAAACTATTTTAAACAAGTTTATGCATTGACAAGAACTCAAAGAAAGGGTAGTTTGCATATATAACACTTTCTTTGATCCGGATTAGGAAGAAACAACAAACAAGCAAAGCAAACAAACAAACAGAAAAACACTTATGAGACAATCTGTTAGGATAATCACCTGCATCTCATCTAATTTTGATTGAATATCTGGAGGGAAATCCCCTGCTCCACAGTTAAATGGGTCGAAAGGCTCTGCTCCAAAGAGGTCCCGTTCTAAAAGAAAGATAATAATTTAGCAAATGAAATGATAAGAAGTGAGCTGGGGTGAGTTATATTTCAAAGGCAGGATTATATAAATAAATACATGATCAAATGAGCTAGCATCCACAATTACACTTTCCTGATCTTAGATTAAACACTAGCAAGGAAACGAAGACCTATTTAAGGATATTAAAAACTGCTTAGTTATACAGAATTATTATCTAGAGAGGTTTCTTTGTCTGTAATAAAGACTTCTTAATTTCAAATTCAATAAATATTTGATTAATTAATACATACTAAAATACCCTTTTTTGGAAGGAATTAAAATTCACTAAAATTAATTCAATTTATTGATGCCTTGGAACACAAGGACTAAGTATATTAATAAGTAGTTTGAATCATAGGTTCGCGTACTCTTATCTCACTTTTTATTGAGAAAAAACTTAAGGTACCTCACCTCACACAGTATGAAATCATATCACCTTTTATATAACCATAATGAGATAGGTTCTTTAAAAATTCCTCCTCTCAGACCTGTAGGTAGCTTGGTGATTAAGGTGCTGGACTCTCACATGGTCAACTACAGTCTATGTCTTGGAATCAGCAGCTTAAAAAATCATGCCAGCCACACCCACAGTACTGCCAGGAGAATGGAGGAGAAGGGACTGCAGCATGGCCATCCCACCTGGGAAGTGATTTCTCACTTTCTCTCTCTCTCTGTCTCTCCTTGGCAATCACACACCCTACAGCAAAAACTTAAAGAAAAAAAAAAAAGACCCCTCCCAATATTTTCTAAAAATGAGCGGAATATAGTAATGAAAACAATGAAAGTCTATATACACATATTTAAAACTAGGCACTCCTTTTCATCACTAAAGAAATATCACAGTTAAAATTGATGTTTGTAATTTATAGATGATGGCTTATTTTATTACTTAAAAAGTAAAAAAAAAAAAAAAAAAAAAGGAAAACAAAAAACTGGGGCTGGCAGGTGGCATGGTGGTTAAGTAAGGGCGATGGACTCCCACATGGCCAACTGCAGTTCAAGTCCTAGACCTGGTGGCTTGCCATTTTCTCTCTCTCTCTCACGCACACACACACACACACACGCACACACACACACACACACGCACACACACACACACACACGCACACACACACACACACACGCACACACACACACACACACTCTGTTCTTCTCTGGTCAAATTAAAAACAAACAAGCAAATAAATAAAGTTAAATAAAATATTTTAAAAATTGAAAACTAAAAAAAATAACTTAAGTTGTTTCCTATGGATCAATTTAAGCACAACATTAATTGGAAATATATGTACATACATGGAAATGGATATTTAGAACATAGTCATGACTTCTTTTTGGAGAAAAATTCATATTTTCTGAATTTAACACTCTGTATTTATACTAGTTGATTTCTATCACATCCTCTAAAATTACTTTATGACTCCCCTCATGAAAGATTTTTATCTTTCTGTAATTATATTTTTAGTCACATACATTTTTCACTTGGATTGAAATTCTTTGTTGTGGACACACTGCCAATTTACAGGTCAGATTACAGCATGTCACTTTATTGTATATCAGGGTGATTATAATTAATAACAATATATTATCTCCTTGAAAATTGCTAATAGAGTTGATTTTATGTTCTCACTAATAAAAAAAGAAAAAAAAAACACTAAGTCTGCAAGGTAATAAGTGTATTAATTAGCTTGATGTAATCATTCTGCAAATATGCATATACTAAAATGTCATTTTGTCACCATAATTATGTACAATTTTTAAGTTAAAAGCCTCTCAAATATTAATATTTTCCAAATATATAAATCTATTATATATCTAAAGTTAAGTGGCTTCTTTAAGGCATAATCAAAAATATTACTCAGCACTGATTTACACAGGGGAAGTGAACTTTTAATTGCCACAAAGATTCAGATTGCTTGGGGCCATCAGTTAGCTTAATGGCTATGTTGCTGGACTCTCACGTAGCTGACCACGGTTCGAATCCCGGACCCGGTGGCTTAAACTCACGCCAGGCGCGTGTGCGTGAGTGCCCAAGATCCCGAGAGGAGAATGGAGGAGAAGGGATTGCGGAGTGGCCATCCCCCCTGGGGGGTGATTTCTCACTTTCTGTCTCTCTGTCTCTCTCTGTCTGTCTGGTGAGCGCATGCGCCCTGTAGCAAAGACCTCTCCAAAAAAAAAAGATTCAGATTGCTTGAGCAATGGCATTCTTAAGTATAGAATCTAAATATGTCAATCAATTATTTTTATTTGAAAAAGATTTCAAAATATAATCCAAGTCTACTATATGTGCAAAACACATGTTCATTATACATACATGAATGAGTGAATCAGTGATGAAGCCAGGGAAGTGAAAGAAAGAGATAAAGGAAGAGATGTGGGAATATTCTTAAAAACAAAAACTTGGGACCAGCAGTTGGCGTAATGGCTATGTCACTGGACTCACATGTAGTTGAGCCAGGTTCAAGTCCCAGACCCGGTGACTTAAACTCATGCTGGGCACGTGTGAGTGCATGCCCAAGGTCCGAGAGGAGAATGGAGGAGAAGGTATTGCAGTGTGGCCATCCCCTCTGGGAGGGGGGGATTTCTCCCCCCCCGGGGGGGGTGATTTTTCACTTTCTGTCCCTCTGTCTTTCTCTCTCTTTCTGGTAAGCACATGTGCCCTAAAGCAAAAACCACTCAAAAAAAAATTAAAAATGACTACCAGTTATTTTCAATAATTAAAGTAAAATATTAAAAAATATAAGGTGAAACACAGTAAATATACAATTAAATGTTTTGTCTTCTCACATGAATCTATACCAAAATATTATTGTTCATACAACAGGCTCAAATTGCAAGTCAGAATTTCTTGAAGAGTATTTTCTGAAATGTAAAGTAGGATTAATTGAATTTGACATATACAAAACCAAGACATATTAATAACTAAATTGGTTAGTGAGCATCTTAAGATAGGTAATTTTCCACAAGTGTTAAGCAAACATATATCCACATATGCAAGGAATATTGATTTGTTTAGAAAGCTTACTAATCTCAGCAGATCTACTAGGTACCGGAGGTGGCTGTGTGCCATTGCGAGTAGGTATTGAAGACTGGTGTGAAATTGGAGAAAATGGAATCATATCAAAGATGTCAGTGGAGGGTGATTTAGGTGTTACACTGCTTGCCTGCAATGAAGATTATATGAATTAGGGTATATTTCACATATATACGCAATAGAACTTAGTATTTCATATATATATAATACATATGAGAAGACTTCAAAAAGTTTTCAGATAAATGGAACTAGATGATGACTTCAGTTTAGTTCAAAATATTTTTTGAAATGCATGCAGTTTTTTCATAATATGCACTGTCCATTAAACTTTTGAAGACCTCTCATGTATAAACAACACTAAATTCAGTTGAATCATATGAATTTGCCATGCTGTAGATAAAAAATAATTAACTACTGGCAAATTTATGTTCCAACCAATTGTGATATATGCTCATGGCAAAAGCATAATAGAAATTCTGTGCAAAAACATTTTCAAAGAATGGCAAAATAGCGGCAGTACTATTTTAAATGGATATATAAGACATACTGGATTTTTTGCATATCTGGAAATAATTGTCATTTGTATAAGAGAATTAGAAACATTAGAAATGGTAAAAATGTGATTTCAGTATTACACTTTTCATATAAGTTTAGATGTTAAACAGAAATAAACACAAATGACCCAACTTTTTAAATAAACAACTCAAAATTTAACTGATAATTTTTTCACAAGTTCAAGAGTAAAGTATATTTTTATTTGTATTCATAAAATGACAATTAACTGATATTTATTGTCATTTCTTTTACTCTTATAAGATTTCATAAAGTTTTCTATAATGAAGAGCCATCTTGTGAAATACATTGATAATCACCAATGTACCACCCAAATCATTGAGTTATATGGTACAGTCTGGACTAGCACTAAAGAAACATAAGGAAAGAAAAATAAAAATTCTATGAAAATGTATTTGACAAGTTACAAAAGAATGAGACAATCATTGCTTTGTTAAACAGGGGTAAATTTATCTGATCAGAGATAAAAGAAAGAAAACTCCCCTTTTGGAGGGAAATAATGAGGAAAAACTAGCTCTTTCTATACGAGGACACACAATGATTGACAAGAGTAGTTCATATAAAAATTAGAGCTCTCAGAATACTTTTTTGATCATAACACAGACGAAGAAAAATAAAGCAGATAGTATGTAGAGAGTGATGGATTTGCAATTCATTTACAATGGCTGCTAATACATTTCTTTCATGCACCAAAATCCTGTTATACCCCTCTCTTTAACGATTTGCTTTTTGTTTCCCTCAGCCCTTTCCATTTATTTGGGAATATTGTTCCCCTCATCATCCCATCCCTCTAGTTCCCTAGCTTCCTTCTCTCTCCTCTTTCTCAGGATATAAAACTACTCCGATCTTGACTGTCCTAAAAGACAAAAACAACCAACCTAAAATTTCTTGCCTTCATCCCTCTTGATTGCTCCATCCTTTCATTTCTCTTTTGCTTCGTATTATGGCTAAGCACCTTGAAAGGCATACCAGGTTTCCTGTCCCAACTTTGCCTTTATTCAGAACGGAATTTTAGTCTAGACTTTGGTCATTTTGCACTGGACTCTACTGAAAACATTTTTACCAGTGTCCTAACTGCCATATCAAATGGATTCTTTGATTTTATTGAAGTATCTGGGTCCTGTTTCATCTTTCTGTGGATCTGACCACTATCGCAATTTTCTACTTGACACTCTCTGATATTAGGGAATCAAAGGAAACAAAAATGACACACAAAAGCTCCAGATCACATCACATTGATTCAAGACATACCTGACATTTTTTATTACTCTATAATGGTACATATTGGAAGATTTTTTTTTTTTTAAGTAAGAGATATAAAAAGAATTTTTCTGTTTAGTAAATTACATGAGGTCTTGGGATGCTGTTCTCACTGACTGGCTTGGGAAGGCCACATTTAGAAGGCGGTGGTACTAACAGTCCCAGGGATAGTCTGGAATCAGGTGAGTTGACAGGAGTGACAGAAATGGAAGAAATATTTAGACAGGGAGATGAGTCATCACTACTACGCCAGAAAGAGGATGGGCATCTCTGAAACCCATATTGCTCATGAGCAGACATTTTCTGCAGCAGCTGTAAAGAAATGACAGAAAGAGAAATATACTAAGGGAAGGAAAGGCAGCATGGTGGAAAGAAAAAAGTATACATGAAAATTTATACAATGGTGGCTTGTAAAAATGATAACATGATTTCCCCACAATGCTACTGCAATTAGAGCATACAGTTGGAGTTGATTTTCCTATTGTGATAGTCCTTAGATGCTGGATTACTTAATTTGATCATTTTTCACTGAAGTATTACATTTTTAGATATTTTACATAAAATGTTGCATACACCAGGACTTGAGAGGAAGACAGTAAAGAGGAAAATGAAGAAAGCCTGAAGATTTGAGAGGGTCTCTGTGTTACGAGACGGGAATAGGAAGGACAGTAATAAAAGAAATCATTGAAGTAAGGGTAAACTCTTGTAAATAAGTTACAGCTTGTAGAATTTTCAAATAGAGTTACAACATACATTTTAAATTTAATCCTCAAAAACTCAAAACACTCTTTTGAAGTATTAGTAGTCCTTATTACAAGAAACACATGGAAATTAGGGTCTATAGATTCTTCATGACTTATGCCTGTACAAGAAGACTTTAAATCGTTCATGGAAAATGGAATTCAAGTACAGTTTTAGGGGCCAGATGGTAGTGCTGCAGCAATGCATGTACTAGGGCTCGGGGTGCAAACACATGCGGTGGTCCTGGTTGGCTGAGGCTGAGGAAACACCATGGCATGAGGACCCTGTTGGGATGCTGTTTTTTTGTCTCTCTCTTATGAAAGAATTAAATAAATATACTCAAAAGAATTTGTTTTAAAGTGTGAGCTTATTTTGATGCAAAAATAAAAATCTGACTTCCAAAGTTCTGCCCTCCATGTAATTTTTTTCAGAATATGCATTTCCCATAAACTTTTTGAAGACATTTCATATGAGATAAAAAAGCAGAGCCCAAACACGTAACAGACTGATTACAAATGTCACAACATTCTTTTTTCTTTTTCTTCTTCTTCTTTTTTTTTTTTTTAGCTATAGGGCACGTGTACTCACCAGAAAGACAGAGAGAGAGACAGAAAGCGAGAAATCACCCTCCAGGGGCGATGGTCACACTGCAATCCCTTCTCCTTCATTCTCCTCTCGGGATCTTGGGCACTCACACACACATGCCCGGTGTGAGTTTAAGCCACTGGGTCTGGGACTTGAACTGCAGTCGACTACATTGGAGTCCAGTGACATAACCATTATGCCAACTGCTGGTCTCTGCTAGATGTCACAACATTTTTATAGGTAATGAGGAGCTCTGAATGGTCAGAATTTTCAGGTGGGATTATAGAGTTGTCAAGCATCTCAAAGAAATCAGAGGAATAATAAATCCTAGGCAAGTAGTGTGCTGTAATGCACCTGATCAGTAATTGGATTACTTTTAGGGGCTATTTTCATTACAGCAGGGGACGTTCCTGTCAAGATTGAGCTGTGGACATTAGAGTGGTCAATGGAAACAAGTCAGGGCCAGCAGGTGGTGTGGAAGTTAGAACACTTGGATCCCACATGGTCAACTACATGGTTCATGTCCTCGACCTGGTGACTTGAAAATCACTCCAGGGATGTGTGTGTGTGTATGCCCAAAATCTCAAAAGGAGAATGGAGGAGAAGGGAATGTGGTGTGGTCATCTCTGCTGGGGGCGGGGAGTGGGGGCGGATTTCTCACTCTCTCTCTCTTTCTGTCTTTCCAGGAGTGTACATGCCGTATAGCAAGCTAAAATTCAAACAGATAAAAACAAAAATGAGTCAAAATGAAAATAAAATTAAAGATTCCCTATTCTTTTATTTGATCACTATGATAGTCTAAACAAGGGCTCCATCGGTGCTCTACCTTCCCCCCGCAGAACGGCACTGAACAAATACCAGAAGTATCACTGCAGGAAGTGGGGCAATCATTGACTCATTGCTGAGGAGCCCTGAACAAGGGCCAGACTGAGAAAAAAGGAAAAGACTAAGCGTAGAAAAGTACTGAATAAGTGACTCAAGTGAAGAAATGTCTTCAGAGCCTGCAGAATAAGATGATCTTGGCATAAGCACCTAAGAGGCCTCAGCCAAGGGCCTTCAATAAAGAGGCCTCTGAATGGAGAAACCAGGCGAGGAATGCACAAAGGCATGAACGCCAGGGAGCCTGGGTGCTAGACTCAATTCCTCTAAGTTGTGCACCAGATTCATACAGGAGGAGAGATATCTCTCACGAAGCTTGCCAAGAAAAGACTTTACGATCGCCTATCACAGGGCCCAAGATGTCACACACAGGATTTTGGCCTAAACTCAGATTCCTCAGCTGTAAATCACACTTCTGAGTCTGTTCAATGCTGACAGGACTTTAAGGCAGCCAAAAAAATCTGATCCTTGATAAACTTCATTGTAAAGGGTAGCAACTAGAAGCTGGCAGGTGAAGTGGTGGTAAAAGTGTTGAACTCCCACAGGGCTAATCATAGTTCAAGTTGTGGATCTGGAGGCTTGCTTTCTCACTTTTCCTCTCTTTTCTCTGTCTCTCTCTGGTCAAATTAAAGGATTGTTATCTTTTAATTAAATATTATTATCTTATTTAATAATAAAATAAATTATTTTTAAAAAGGAAGCAACTGAAATTAGAGTCAGAAAAAAATGTTTTTGAGGAATATTCTTAAGCTAAGAACCACCTCTTCACTTGTTTCTTGAAGCAGAAGAAAAATGGAAACAATGTAAAGTGAGAGATTAAGATTAGTGAAGAGTTCCAAGTGTAAGTTTCAAGTCTCTAGTAGTCTGTGCTTATAATTTTTAATTCTATTAGCATACATGTATGAATATAATTATTGATTTCTCTATTGATATTCATAGTAATAACTCTGTCCATCTATCGATCTATCTAGAGATATATACATACACAATATTCAAAATCTATTTTCTGGTCTAGATAGTTCTATATAGTTCCATCATTGGTGGTCACCCTTTTCTTTATTATAGGTTAGAATTGTAAGCTCCTTGTGGGTA